TATATATATATATATATATATATATATATGTGTATTAAAAGGAAAATATATAAAATAAGCGCACATATATTGTCTTCTAATTCGTTTTACAAAGGACACCATTCCAATGTCAACACATAGTCCTCTAAGCGGAACGGTTTCCGAGTTAAATGCTAAGGTCGGGCAATTTATGGTGATGCACAATCAATGTCATAGGAAGGAAAGTTCCGTTTTCCTACATAACAGTTATTTATTGTAATGTCCTCTCTATTCTTTCTCTTCTCGGGAAGAACGTCGCTTGATTTTATATTTTAATCTTCTTTGTTTATATAGATATTTATATATTTGATCGTGGACGCTGTTAGCGCGGTGAAGCCAACAGGACGCGATGCGCCTCACGCTGCAGATGCTGATCTCCCATGGCCGGGTGGCACGGAAGATGGGCCTTGGCCCGGAGTCGAGGATTAATATGCTGCGGAACATCTTGACAGGACTTGTTCGACACGAAAGGATAGAAACTACGCAAGCCAGGGCCGACGAAGTTCGATTTTACGCCGAAAAGGTGTGTGTGGAGGAGAACCCTAACATTAACCTTTTCAGTACCAGGTTAAAAGTTGGGGTCTGCCATATTCGGGACCAGCCTTTGGTCCTCATAAGGCCTGTCGGTCCCACTGATCTGTTTATTAACTGGATTTCTGATGGAGCGAAAAAAAACTGAAGTCACATGCCGCCATCTTGGTACTCCTGGTACTCACATTCAGTGAATACATTTCAGGTATTTCCATACATTTCAGGTATAAAGATACCTGAAATGTATGCAACCACCATAACAATGTAATCAATGCATGTATATTACATGTAAATCATCAATTTAGCACATTTGGCACCTCATCAGATTTGCATGTGTAATATTCTTAATGTCTGACCACAGTATTACTATGCTTTATGCTTTACTATGCTTTGTGATAGATTTGTATATTATATGACATGCAATGTGATGTGCCTATTTTTATTTTTAACTGTGGATAAATGGAGCTCAGTGGTTGGTCCTCAGAAGGTAGTAAATGTACCAAAAACGTTCTTAAATAGGTAATATAAACAAGTACAGACAATGTTTATCCTCTCTTAACATGGGCAGTTCTAAACAGGGGCCAACGGGGTCCAGTGCCCCTGTAGATCATGGCCTGACCCCTGTTATGGCCCCTGTACCGAAGGCATAATACTAAAAGAAATTCTAATGATGATATGCGCTGGAACAGACATGGTTACTGATGGGTCCTTTGGATCTATTTAATTTTTTCCTTAAAAATACTGTTGATCCAACTGTTTTCGTAAGAAAGGAGCTCTGGGGTTGGTTTAATGAAGCAGGTGTAACAAAATCAGATTCTTCTTCTGGTTGAAATTTTATGGCGGTTGACAAAAACGTTAGGTGAGCATTACCGCCACCAACTGGTAAGGAGTGTGGACCATATGGAAAAAAAAAAAAACAACTATATCTAGTTATACAATTTAATCTGTTTCAAAAACTCAAATATAACCTGATATCCTCTGCTTCCTGATTCCTTTTTGCAGTAAATAATGTCAAGTTTTAGTTTCATATTACTAAGTTTCCTAATTAACTTGTCTCTCTGAATTAAATATTTCCTACAACTCAAAATGACGTGTTCCACTGTCTCATCTTCCCCACAGTCACATATCCCTGTCTGATTTTAAACAATGACCTATTCAGTCCTGTGTGTTCTATTCTAGGTCGTGAAATAATCATCTCTTCTCTCCTGTTCATTTCTTTTTCCCATAACTTCTGCCACTTCTCTTTTGTTTTTAGTTTAATTATACGTTTATTTCTGTTATACTAAAACTTACATTGATATCTATCCTTACCTTATTTGTACTCCCCTTAGCCATCCTGTCTGCCATTTGATTTCCCTTAATCTCGTTATGTGCCAGAACCCAAACAAAATCTACTACTAGCCCCATCATATTTATTCTGTAAAGTGTTTGCTGTATTTCAATTAATATATCTGGCCTACTGTCTAATTGATTATTTTGCAAACTGACTAATGACGAACTAGAATCTGAACAAATTATTTTAATGATCTTGCCTCTTCCACCCATTGAACTGCTAAAAGCAAAGCTAGCATTTCTCCTGTATACACTGAAACTCCATCACTAATCCTTTTTCTTACCTTAATTGTAACAAATTCAGATTTAAATCCGCACTTCAAATTGATCTGGCCAAAAGTAGGGAAATCTGCGTGTTTGATTTCACAATATCTGTTATTAATTAGTTCAATCAATTTTAATTAGGTCCACTCAGAGTTAAACGCGTGCGCAACAAGTATGAAAAGCCATCATCAGTGGAACACCGATTCGACAAGTCACCATGACAACAGGCAACAGAAAGTCCCTATTTCACCCCACTGGAATTAGAGATTTTAATGCAGATTTGCAAAAAAGGAGAATGTGTTTCTAAAGACGGAGAAACAGCGCAATAGCTAGAAAGGAGAGGGAAGATGGCGAAGGAGAAGACTGTTGCTCGACTTAACGCCTAAGTTTAAATAAATGGTCCATGGCAGGCTGTTTTTACATTTATTAAAAGGACTCCTCTCTGGTTTTCCAATCGTAGATCACTGAAATAAGATTCTCCCTGATCACAATCACACTCGTAGACCTAACCGTAATAATATATTTTCTAAATTACATTTTTGTAGCAGAAACTGAATTTTAGAAAGTAAAAAAAACTAAACAAAGTTATATTAATAAGAATTTAGTTTTATATATCTAGAAATGTTTACACATTTTGATTGGCCGTTCTGACATTTATCAGCTTGACTGAAAGTTTATTTAATATCTGAGAAACATTTTTTTCATAGTTAAAATAATACAAATCCGGACCATTAATATTAGGAATATGGAGGTCTGAAATTAATTTATGTTTTATTCTAGATGTGGAGAATGTCATTTGGTTTCAAACGGTCCTTTAGCCAAAGACATTTTTTTTTTTTTTTTTTTCAGATATGAGGAATACATATTCAGTAAAATATGAAATTGGCTTGCCATAGACTGTTACCTTGAAAATAATATGGGATTATTTATTGAAAAGCAGCAAATAAATGTATCTATTTAGGTAAAATCTTCTGGCAGCAGGTGAGGATGAATAAAAACTTTGTTCTAATATATAGAACCTGTGGATCATCTCATGCGTTCCTCTTCATGTTGATTCAGTCTTCTTTTACACAGTTAAGTGGATGTTTGCAGACAAATTGCCGTTATAAGCGGCTATCAGTCCCATAAAATGGCTTCAGATTGTACCAGTAGGTTCATTAGATTGTTATCATGGAGTGAATTCTAATCCTAACCCTAAAGTGATTCCCTTTACCCTGCAGAATTAATCAATCTATTTACCGGTACGTGTAATCTGAAAACGATTTCAGTAGTTCTTCATGTACTGTAAATATAACTAAATAAAAATAAAATGATCCGCATCTCGCTCATATTAAACAAACCGAAGACATAAATCTCATATCCTGTTACTGAGTTGTAGAATCCTTTCCCTATAAATATTTATTTCTCTGTGAAAAAGTGCTGATCATTCTTTAATAAAATCTTCATCAAACGGACAAGCAATGTTTGTTTTAAAACCTAATTTGTGTAACGGACCTTGGGACTAATTTATATATATTTTTATGAACAAAACTACAACAAAAATCTTACTAAATCAGGAAATAAAACAGCATGATTGGCTGTAATGAGAACGGAGAGAGGAGACACGGATTTACTGAAGAAAACCTGCTACCGACCAGGTTAGCTCAGGGGATAAGGTTACTATGGTAACTGAAACAGAAGTTGAATAAACTCTCTTTGTGAACTGGAAAAGTCAGAGTATGTTTTCAGGTTTAGACAACTTTGAGTTTTCGGTAAACCTGCTTCATGAAACAGACCCCTGGACTGCAGTGCTGAATCTGGACGGTCCTCAGCCTTACAGGTGTGCATGTGTTGCCTCTCCATTTGCTATCCTAGAAGGGATTTTCGTTCCATTTTTACGGAAGAGGATTAGGGCCACTGGAAAAAAAAAAATGTTTACTGATTTTAAAAATTTGTCTCAGTTTAGTATGGGGAAAAAAGTCAGAATTCTGATTTTTTTTTCTCAGAATTCAGATTTTTTTTTCTCAGAATTCAGATTTTTTTTTCTCAGAATTCTGACTTTAATCTCAGAATTCTG